ATAAACACACACACACACACACACACACACACACACACACACATATATATAAAATTTGAATTTTTGGAAACTTTACCTGAGCTGTCAACTTTGGAAAAAGTTGTCCCAATTTACTGTGTTGAGTTGGCATTGTACAGAAATTGACAGCCATATTGGCCTAGAAATGTTAATTTTTTTCCATTTGTACAGGGGTAATGCACTGTATTAAATATGTAAGGTCATATCTATGTGAGTTTGATTACAGAAAGTAATGAAGTATTCTCCAAATAATGAAAAAAAAGAATAAGATAAGACTATAAGAGCAAGAATCAATTTATGTTCAGGGACCATTTCCATCTTCAGAATTAAGGATTATTTTAATGTTACATCATTACCTTTTCTCTTTTACTTTCCTTTTTAGTTTTATTTTAGGATTCCCTATTTTTAATGTTCATACAGAGATTTCTTTAACTGAAATACCGAATAGTTTCTCTGGTGTGAAACTCTATAATAGTACACAGGATCCTAATGAGATAATTAATAATGTGAAATAGGAAGTAAAGGGATAAAAATGTAGGGAAAGTGGGAAGGGTGGGGGAAAGGTAATAAGGGAGAGGAAAAAATATGAGAAAATGAAAAATGGGAATAAAGTGTTTGTAAATGGGGAGGGGAGGGGGGTGCAGGGAGGGCAGGGACAAGGGGAAAAAATGAGAATCAAGACCTATTATGTAAAGGTACAGGATCCCAATAATGAACGTAACTGTATTGTATACCTAGATTGTACCAATAAACTCAATAAAAAGAAAAAAAACACATTTTTCAAAATCCAAATGGTTTTTTCAAAAAAATCTTCATATACAAGCCAAGTACAGTCTCTATGAACATCTGTGAACATCGTCATCACCTCAAGACTTCAAGCACTGTTTGGAGTTCTTTAGTGGCCTGCCCTAAAAGACATATGGCATTCAATAACTCCAGCAATAGCAAATTCCCCCTAGAGTGCTCGGATGGAAGCCTCAGTCCCCAAGAGGAAGGAATGTGTTTGGACCTGCTAGAGGGCTGAGGGGAGGCTCTGCTGAGGAAAGCGTCATCTCCAGTGGTCTCTTTAAATAGCTCATTGGCGCCACCCAGTGGGGAAGGGCTAGAATATGACTTTGCGGTCTGTGGGAGTAAAGGGCGAATCTGATTGCAGTATCTTGGACTTTCCACCTACCTTCCTGTGTAGGAATTTAAGAGACATCCCAGGAAATAGTTTCCTTTTCTGTATATCGAGGCAGCGCACAGTTCTGAAGAAAACCCAGACCCTGCTTGTCATAAACTAACTCAGTCAGTGACCTTGAATAAATCCACATCCTCAGTGAAACTGTTGTCTTGCCCCAACTTCCTTAAAAAAATAAACTTCCGTATTTTCAGTATCCATAGTCTTTCAGTGCCATAATTGTTTTAGTATTTATCCATGCAATTCCTAGCATCAAATTAGGTGAAGAAAAAGCATCTCTGGCATCCTTGAAAATCAGAAATGACTTACAACCATCTATAATTAGTATGTAAGTCAATATCACTGGAACTCATGTTTATGTGACTCCCTCACGGGGCGCTCAACTAAAACCGAATGGTGTGGAAGAAGGAGCTGGTCTTTCCAGTCAGAGCTGAACTTAAATCCCCCACCTGCGACTTTCTCCAGGACTGATGAGTTACTCTCCCTCCCTAAGCCTGTTTCCTCATCAGCACAATGGAGTTGACAAATCCTCCCTCTTGGGGTTAGCACGGCAAGGGTTGCATGAGGCAGTTCCTGTGGGGCAGTGAGTACTGGTGCTGATGCAGAGAGCACTGTGGTCATGCTTGATGTTCCCACTTAGGCTCTGCATTTTACCTATTTACCTTGAGCAAATAACTTCTGCCCTGAGGTTGGCATTCTTCTGCCAAAGATCCTAAATCCCATGACATAGCCACCTAAAAGCACCTGTCATTTCAGAGTGCTTAACAAATGCTGGGTGTTTTTTGTTGTTTTGTTTTGTTTCCTAAAAGTACTAGCCCATTTCAAATATTTAGAAGCGGGTACAAAGTTAGAATCATGTTCATCCCTTGAACATGCTTTCTCTCCTCTCTTTCTGTCTCTAATACACGACATTATTGCATTCCCATTTTCTTTTTTCTATCTCTAGCATCAATAGTTAACCCAAACCTTTGGGTTAGGTTAGGAACATTTGGAAGCAACAAACAGCAAGCTCACTTTAGGGTTGTCGTGGTTTATTTCTATCCCTTACCCCAAGTACGTAGGTCCTTATTTACTTGTCCATGTCAAGACCTCTGTTCCAGCCACAGCAACACCAGATCACTGGTCAGTCTCATCTCTGCACCCCCACTATCCAGCCTGTTTTGGATCTATCTCAGTGGGTATATTATCAGAGATATCCTCCCAGGCCTCCTCCTTCAGCAAGAAATGGCTGCTGCCAGCTTTGTGCTTCTGAAACACATCATTCTATTGGAAGAGATAAAGGGAATCAATGCGTATTGAGTCTATGTGTATGGTAGCACATTTAACCTTCTCATGACTTCCTACTTCAGTATCACTTGTGAATGAGGAGAGTGAGGCCCATTCATTTCTTGATTAAACAAACATTTATTGAACATCAATCACCGGGCACTGGGAATGCATCAGCAAACAGCAGGCCCAGCCCTTCTCTCATGGATTTGATGGCATTTTACATAGGACAAATCCAGGGGGCAGCAATGAAATGGACAATAAACTTTCTAATGGCTAAAAGGGACATTTTAGGTAAGACTTTGTGGGCTCAGGGAGATCATACAGGTATGTAATGTGCAGCAAAGGTGGGGTTAAGAAGTGAGTGAGCTTGCTTCTTACAGGTCAGCATACAAGAGAAATAGCAGTTGCAGTTCATCCTGTTTCAGGTAGAACTTGGAAGCAACTTATTCTTCTAATAAAAATGACATTAATCTTGTCCTCCCTCGATGCTGAATGGCATAGGGCCCATTTTCAGCCTCCTACCCAGACTGTTCTTAGAGGTGAAAGAGGAGTCATTGTCATGTGCCCAGTGCCGGGATGGAGCCTACAAAAGTGAAAGCACACGGAATAATTCAATGAGTATTTCTTCTTCTTTGTGAGACTCAGTAGCTCTCCTCAGCCTAGTAACAACAGTCATGCCCAGAGCCCATGCGTACTCACAGGTACAAACCAGAATGTCCTATGCAAAATGCAGATGGGCAAGGATGGAGGCAATGGCGTCTCCCCCATGGATGGAGTGGGGTGTCAGACAGTGTCTCAGCAGGTGAAAGTTGTTTTGTGTGACTTGGAAAAATAAATGACAGCTAACCAGACAAGAAGGATGAGCAGGATGTAGCAGGAGCAGGCGCTGGGTAAGAGGCTCAGCCTGTGCAGAAGAGAAAGGCTGGCACATCTGGGATCTGAACACGCCCTCAGGAGCCAGGCAGATGATGTCCATGGGTGAAAGGCCAGGTGACCATGTATCAGACACTTCGCTTTATTCCTTGTTTCTGTTAACATTGTCTTCTCTTCCGCTTTTCTTATACGCATTGTTATTCATTTACGCATTTTTGAAAGTTAGCTAAAGAGAAGATATTCCCTCTTTTAAGAAGAATAGCAGTCCAAGTCCAATGATCACATCAGCTGGTGAGTGACGTAGGGAGACAACTGGCAGTGCAGGGACAGGGCGTCCTGCAGAGCACCTTCTTTGTCCAAAGCAGACGGCCGATCTTCAGTAGCACTGCTCAGTGGCTCCAGATCTTGCATTTTTTAAGTAAAAACAAGTTGGATTTTTGGCAAAATAGTCACATTTTTAAAACAGTGTGTTAATAAAGGAGAGAAATCTGCAGATAACGTAGAATTCATCCTCACGCTGAGCCTTATTCATGAGCCACACTCTGAAGTTCCCGGGAGTGTTTTCAAAATCTTTCATCGCAGCATTGCTCTGCTTAGTTTCTCCTAACTGTCCTTCTCCCCTTACTTTCCAGAAAGAGATGACGAGCAGAATGTGTCACTGACCCTCCATTTCATCCTTCAGAAGAAAGAAAAGCCTCCTGGAGTCCTGAGCACACAGGGGGTGGACTTCCTGGTTGAAGTGGCACATCTGCTTCCTGGGGCAAGAGAGCTGGCGACAAGCAGGGACTCCTGGGAGACCTTTCCCACTCATGTCACGTGCTCTTACCCGTCTGAGTGCTGCTAGCCTAGACCTTCAGACCAGGCCGACCACGGCACACAGAGGGACCAGCCCTGACCCCTCCAGCTTTGGACTTGCCCAGGAGGGGCCTCTGCACAGTTCTGCCTGTGACCTGCCACCTAAGCTTTACTGGAATTTAGGTTTTGAGACCGAGATGTTTATTTGTACCTTTCTACTTCTCCATTTGGTTAGCTGGCTGGCTTTTCTGTCATTTGTTTTCTGAGTACTGAGTGAATTTTGAAGCTTTGGATGGACAGCACATTTTTCTGTAATAAGACTTCCTCTCAGATCTATGAAAACTCCTGCTCTGATCTTGTGGCTTAACATTGCACAGAGCCATGGCACTGTGAGAAATCTGAAGCCAGGTCAGGCAGCCTTGTACCATTTTCCCAACAGGCCGTTTTATCGGGGACCACTCCGCGGGCTGGTTTGTCTCTGCCCAAAACAGTCATCACATTCTAACTATAGGGAACAGACTGGTTGTTAGCAGAAAGCTAACAAATGACCATTTTGTCCAGATCAGAATGTATTTTTTTATAATAATCATCATCCTTGACTCTCCTGTCAATGTTGCTTCTTATTTCCCAGGAGAGAGAAATAGAAGAAAGTTACAAATGACTAAGAGTGACCAGTAGGAGCCCTGAGCCAGATTAGTGCAGTGTTTGTTCTTTATTGAGGGGCAGGGAATCGTGGCTGTTTCTACATAATATTAATATTTCAGTGATAAAACAAAAGAACAGTTGGTTATTCGGTGTGAGGAGATTAAATTCCCAGTCACTGACTTGTGACTTTTTCTTCCACTCACCCCTCTCTGTCACATTATATCACGGCTCTGTGATTGTCTGCAGAGGCGACAGTGGAGCCAGAGCTATCTACCCTCTACCATCCATTCTCATTGCCCTCTTCCAGTGGACAGAAAAATGCATTCTGTTCTACAACCTGATGTTTGAAACCTGAGCATGGTTAATGGGATGCTGCATTCTCTGATTCATTCATAAAACTTTGTTCCTGGTGGCCCAGCCTCTGACTAGTGGGTAATAATACTCCCAGTGACATGTGAGCTTAACAAAGTACCAGTTGGTGGGGGGGAAGTAGATAAGAATGCATTAGTGCATCTTAATGTAATAACAGTTAAAAGATAACTGAACAACTCTGATGTTGCTTTATTTTACATAATGTGTTTGAGCCATATGTGGCTGCCATGAAAGCCTAGTAATTGTGAATTCTTTGTGCAAACTAAAAACGCGTTGATTGGGCGCAGTAGCATTCTATGTTGACCTAATCATGCAGACGGACCCTTGCTTTATATCTCAAACAAGTTGTTCCGCAGAACCCAGATGTTGCTACCTCTCTCTGTGTTACTGTGCTCTGGTCAACAATAAAACTTTTTTCCCTCACTAACTTTTAGAGGTCAAGATAGGCCAAGATTTTTTTCAGCATCACTTTTAGCTACCGGAGTATCTGACTGGCCTAAGGATCCAGAGAAACAAGAGCCCCTCAGTTCTGACCTATGCAATTATGCAGTACCACGTGGGAATGCGGGATGGTCGTACAGAGAAATTACAGTATGAAGCTCATCTTCTTAGAGAGTTTCTGTAGCTCTGTACCCTGGAAAGCCACAGATTTTTTCATTTAAGAAGTTAAGTATGTTTCTTGCATTTCAATGATGATTAAGTGGGAGATTAGACTCTGAAGATATTTGTCATTAACTTTTAAGGTTATTTTTTATTACTGTGTGTATGAAATTTCCACTCAATTTAAAAATTTACATATTTTTAAACTTCTTAAAATAATTTCTTCCTGGTTATATTGATAATTGCACTAATCAACTCCTCTAGAGCAAGTTCTGGCAAAATGCTCTTATTTCTTAATTGCAGGCTGATCCCATTACTGCAGAACTTTGGCAAATTCTACTGACAATCTCAGGTGATTTCTACCACTTTGGCCTGAGTTCAACTTCCATGCATCTCTTACGGCAAGTGGAAGATCTCAGCTCCTCCCTTCGACGTCTCCAGCCCTGTGGGGGCTGGCAGTTCTGCTGTTCTTTCCTACCTTGGCCCTCGACTCTTTCTTTTTCTACTCCTTATTTTATTTTGAGAAAATTCAAAGTGCAAATTTCAATAATAAAAGATTACAAGAGCACCCTTAAGTGCATCAATTGTTAACATTTTGCCTCATTTTCTATCTTACTGAAAATACACATTTCTATTACTAAACCATTTGAAAATAAGCTGTAGTTATAAGAAACTTTAAGGTGCTTTATTATTTTTTCTTCCTATTAATAAGAACATTGTCCAGCCCGTTTTCAATTTCCATTATCACCTCCAAGAAAATGAGCCGAAAAAAAAAATGGTATACCTAGTATATAATCCAGGGTCAAAATTCTCCAACTGTCTCAAAAATATTCTGTATAGTCTGTCTCTTTTTTTTTCCATTAAGTTTATTGGTACATTTAAAGCAAATAATACAGTTACATTTATCATTGGGATCTTGTACCTTTACATGCATGATATGTCTTAGTTCTTATTTTTTCTCCATACCCCTGCCCTCCCTTCACCCCCTCTACCCTTCCCTATTTACAATGCCTTTGTTTCCATTTTTTCCTTTTCACATTTTTTCTTTTCCCTTATTTCCTTTCCCGTCCCCTTCCCACTTCCCTGTTAGCCATTTTCTGCTTTTAGCTCTAGGATCCAGTCGAGAATCACACACATGGGCCAGGGATTTAGCTCAGTGGTTCTGCAGCCTGCCTCGCAAGTTCAAGGTTCGAAGTTCAATCCCCAGTACCAAAAAAGAGAATCACACACTTCATTAACTTGTCATTGTCTTTAGCTTTCTTTAATTGATTAGAATCCCCTTTAGTGTGTGCTTCTGTGGTGAAGTATGTTTGTAGAGGGCTTTAGTGTTTGTGTGTGTGTGAGAGATGTGGTATGTCTTTCATGACTCTGACATTAGAGAGTTCAGACTGGTTTGTTTATAGTCTGTCCCACAATTTGGAGTTCTTGTGTTTGTTTTCTTTTGTTTTTCTTATTGTTTCTTGTTATAAGATTTAGGTTAAAATTTTTTGGCCTGAGTACCATATTTGTTTCCATCCTATCAGAAAACACATAACATCTAATTGTCTCTTTTCATGATATTGAGATTTATCAGTGTGCTCAGGTGTTATCTCCCTGATCCAGTCGTTACTGAGTTCGATAATTTATTGTTAAACTCTGAAAATCTGTACATTTTTAGAGTGTGAATCTATACATGTATATCCACTCTTAGTATCATCAGAGGTCCATGATAAAGGTTGTACCCATTACAGTTAGATGACACAGCAGTGACACGTCTTACTTTTCCATTAATAAAAGGAAAAGGAAGCAGGAAGAGGTTCCAGGTGCAGACAGTACACAAGTATCCTGGATAACGAGAGCTCACATGGTCGAGTAGCTTTGGTTCTCCCACAGTGACTTCCTACTCACATCCATGGTTTAATCACAGAGTTCGTGTGTTCTTGTTGAGGGCATTCTTGCTGAGGGAAATTTTAGATATTACAATGGATTGTGCTCCTCCGAAAGACCGAAGCTCTTATTCATATATGAAGTATTTATGAGGCATTGAAACTTCATGGAAGGGCTGGGGATTTAGCTCATTGTTCTGCCACCTGCCTCACAGGTACAAGGACCTGAGTTCAACCCCCAGTATCCCCCCAAAAATACTTCATGGGAGATGGCAGAGCTGGTGGGGGAGATGATAAGGCAAAAAATGTCTAAAGAGAGCTGCTCAGTAGAAAAATAATGATAACTAATAGGTGAAGAAATACTAAGCTAGAGTAATTTTCCGCTTCTTAGATTGTTGTTATCCTGTTGGAGTATTTTCTCATTCCTAAGGGCCCAGAATCTCAGAGCCAGACTCAATCAAAGGAATTTTGGCAGATGTCTTAATCCTTTCCCTCAACCTCCCAAACCATGTTGATAACATTCCGGCTGAGAACCTATTCTCCTCTCACGTCTTCAGGTGCAGAAGTCCTACTGCAACCTCTGGTAGAAACCACTGAAGCTTTCTAGCGTCTGAACTCCTTCCGGTCAACTTGAGCTGAAGTAGTCTATGAGTTTCAGCACATCTTTTCTAGTGCCCCACCTGTGAAGTAAAATAATAACTATCTGCACACCCGTGAAGGGCCCTTTAACCCACCTCACCGCCCTGCGCATGCAAGGCAGCGGCGGAACAGCTGAGCTAAATCCCCGGCCCCTAGCCCTTCTTTTGTTAGAGCTTTTCCGGCAGCAGCATCCCCTGGGAAGTCTTGCTGTCCGGTTGTTAGCCATTTCTGTAGCTCAAGTAGAAAGCTTCCTACACTCTCCAGTGTCTGGATTTTGAGTGTCATCCACCGCCAGCCTGATCAGAAACTATCCCACCCGTTCTTCAAATACAGTTATGTCTGTGAAATACTGAGTTACTTTTTAGACACCAGCAGAATTTTTCCATTTTAAATTCCACACAGAATTCTTCACAATTTTACATCCAACAATTCTGACTTGACTATTACCGTCCTGATATTCTTTCTTCCCACTTTTAACATACCTCCTCAGATTAGACCGTTTTACAGGGTTTGGTGGTAGTGTTTGCTTTTAACCACCTCTTTGAGAAAACATTAAGGAGCTGAAATAGAGTTCCTTCCATCTGTTTGTGGTGATTGATTAATGCCAGTCACTATTCTGACCATTGGTGGAAACACATCACTTTCTATGGCCTCTTACCTGGCATCCCTTTCTTACCCCATGGGTATCACACCGTGAGAAGAGGAAACATTGTAGGAAAAGTATGCCTGTGTCTTCAAGAAATAGGCACTAAGTCACTAAAAGGAAATAGAGACATCATTAGGATGATGCTATTGTCATTCTTGCTCTGATCATTTTGGTCTTTGAAGAAACTGATGGTTCTTTCCTAGAATTGCCAAAGTGTTTTAGAAATAACGATCATTTTCCTGCTTTAAAATATATCTCAAAAAAAAATTTATAACAGGCTATTTCCCTCTGGACAGGTTTTAATTCTGAGTAAGAGTTTTTAGTAAATATATAAGGATTTATATAACAGAGGGAAGAGTTCATTTCTAATGAAACAAGCTATTTTACCAGCCTCTGGTGTTCAGATTTCAGAGTTTTCCTGTGTCATTTTTACATACGCTTGAAAAAAGGTTGACTATATTTTTAGTTCTGTTTGTGATTAAATTAAGGGTTTGAATATAAAACAGACTAACACAATTAAATCCATTAGTAAAGCAAGGTAAAACTAAAAGGTATTTATGAAATCAGTTCTTTTGTGAGCTTAGAATTCAAATGTCACAAATAAAAGACATGTAACCATCATTTGGTCTGTGTTTTTTTAATGCTTGATTTATTTCTTTAGTTTACTTTATTTATTAGGTTCTTCTTCTTGCAGTGGTCCTGAAACAAGTAAATAAAAGAACAATTGTTAATGCTACAAAAAATTCAAAATTTATTTTAAAACACATGTGTGTATATTTGCATTTTAGTAATTCTTTTATCCTATTACAAAACATTTCAAGAAGGCTACAGGCATTTAGTGTGGCTTCTCAACAAATTTATGCTGTACACGCTTTTTCTCTTCAGTAGGATTCAATATTAGTTTCATAATAACCTGCTTTATAAACATAATAAAACTATATCATAAAAAAGCTCATCTATCTAATTTCATAACCTCGAGTTTTAATCTCTTGTTTTCCACTCTCTTATTTGAGATGTCTTTGGTAGTTTAATTGCTCCTTGCATCAGATTTCTGAACTGCAAACTGAAATTATAGACTCATTTCTGAATAACATTATTTTCAGAGACCAAGGCAAGGTAATATATATTTTTAAAGGAGTATATAAAATTCATTATATTGCTCTATTGATAGAGTGTTTACTGTTATTTTTATAAAAACATGAATGACTCCAATAATGGTCACCTTTGCTAATAGTAATGTAGAACACTATGTCTGAAAGAACCTGTTTCATTAGATAAAGTGTGGTGATGAAGTGATTTCTACACACAGGGCAGTGGGGAATGCAGTTTCTGGAACCTTTTAAAAATATAAGTATTTTCCATGCTTCTCAGTTACACTGTTTGAAATGTATATCACCATGTGACAAAGAGGCAAACTATGGCCTCAATTCAGTTAACAGAAATGTTTAGTTGGACCTGCACCTGCTGTCCCACGTAAACCTTTATTTAACTAATTGCCATTTAAATACTGGAAAGTTTAGCAAGTAAAAATAAAGAGATTAGGCTTATTTTATAAAATCCAATTTGACAATACCAAGCTTTTGTTCTCTCGTGGCAGAAACTGGCTGAGAAGTGGCTGAGCCACTGATAATGGGACGTGCTCTCCTCAGTTCACCACTGTCCCACCATTCCACTGGACCCCCGCTGTGCAACTGGTTGTCAGTTACCATTTCTTTTCTTATACAAGGAGGTTTTGCCCTACCTTGAAAGCTTTTCTGGTTACAGCCACTGTTATTACCACGTCTGAAGAAACCACTGTATTCATTTTCAAATGTATCCCCAAACACATCAAATATCTGCTATAGTCTTAATTTTTCTAGTAACCAACACTGTATTAATGATGATGAAGGAAAAAGTCTTAAGAGACAAATCAGTCCAAACTAGATGCCTTCAGTACTCCTACACAACAAAAATCGATATTCCCATGAGAAACTCACATCCTTTATGAAAATTAAGATGCCCATTAAAACTGTCTAATCTTTAAATTATCCTAAATTTTTAACCTTCAACCCTACTTCCAAGTAAACTTATTTATGACATTGACCAAAATGATAAATGTCATTGAAAATGGCAATTGTAGTTTCATTTATAATGATTATATATTTTATGGGGCCGGGGAGGAGGAAAAGAAGAAGAAAGAAGAAGAAGAGGAGGAGGAGGAGGAGGAGAAGGAGGAGGAGGAAGATATTTTATTTGCTTTCATTGTTAAATAGATTTTGGAAGAGCATAATATTTTAACTACAACGCCTCATGTTTTAATGAGAGAACTTATGTAATTCAATTTTCATGAAGACAAGCAAAAATTTTAATAGATTAAATGAGGAAGTCAAAGTCAATCTAATTAAACTGTGATTTTGTTTATTACTGTATTACTGCATATTAGGGGAAATGATATCATATGATTGAGATAAGTCCTGACCTATTATCAAAACAGCAAAGAATAACAGTCTAAGCCGGTGATGGTTAATCTTTCAGCGTTTTCAAGGATACATATAGCCGGCAGTGGCTTGCTTGCCAGAGTTCACCACCACTGTTCTAAGCTTTCAAGGACTTCACAAAACAGAGAAAAATGGGTACGGACATAGAGGAAATAGGTAATAACACAGCCTGTGCTTCTTGGGATAACTATTCCCCATGACTGCATATGTGTGTCTCTCTCTCTCTCTCTCTCTCTCTCTCTCTCTATATATAT